GACTTGAGGAGGGAATGACACCTTCATGTGCAACTCAGCTCATTTAATCCTAATGAAGTCCCTGTTCCTGGCATAAATTCAGATTACAGTGATCTTTAGGATTTTAAGATACAAATTCTTAGGAAGAGCTCAGACTCCACTCTAATAATATCTTCCCCATTGCGTACACAAGATTTCTAAACACAGGTATACTCTTAAAGAAAGAGCACACTTAAGTCATCAAATATATGTGGGTGCTGGAAGAAACTGACCTAAGGCTTTGAAACAGCGGGTCAATGATTAGGTGTTTTAAATGATTTCTGTTCTCTCTCTCTCTCTCTCTCTCTCTCTCTCTCTCTCTCTCTCTCTCTCCCTCCCTCCCTCCCTCCCTCCCCCACTCTTTCTCTCTCTCTCTCTTCTTGATTAGCAAATAGTCAATGGAATTTGTTTCCGGGATCAGGTAACAAGAACCAAACACATTACAAGCAAAAAAGAGTGTGCACACAAGAAATCCAAGGTGGAGGATTAGTAGACTCGGGGATGCAGCTGATACCAGTGAAGCCTGCCCTTTCTCAGCTAGTCTAATAATATAGTCATAGAAATTTTAGATAGGGGACAACTCTGACGCATCTTAGTTGGCATTCATTCTTGTTTTTGACCAACTGGTTTGTGTAGGGTTAGGCATGGGATGATCTTCTTGGCCTTTCATATGCTTGCAATTTTTTGTGAGCAAAGACTTTGTGACATAGAGGAAGAAAAGTTTCCAGATGATGGAGAACTCTTATAAGAACCAGAACGAAAGCATTCCTTAAAGTCAGGGCTAAGACAACAGAGATGGAAATACTGATGTTATAAACTACAACTAAGTTTTAATGTCCTTAAGTCCTTAATCCCGAGGAGGTTGGGCTAAGCGATGGATGTCCCAATTCAGGTTTGGCACAGTAGAAAAGCCTTAGTCCCGGAAAAGTTAGGGCCATATATTTCACCAGCTCAGCACCATCAGTCATCGCCAGACTGCAACCTGCTTGTCTGCTTTCTAGGTTTCTGCCATGACCACTGAGTGTTAGGCTCATCTAGGAAGACATCTTGTCTGATTCTCCAGCATGGTACCAGGCTGACTGACTGCTTGAGACATGTGACCACTTGTTCCTTCCTGCTACAATCACTGCTTGTCACCAAACCAGTGTTAGGCAGCATTGATATTTCTTTGCTGTATCTCTGTTGACATGGGGGCTGCTCTCTACAAGGCCCTACACCACAGAATGGCTCCCAGTTCTGCCTCTGCTGTCTCATGCTTGAGCTCAGCAGAGTTTCCCATCATGCTTCAGAATATCATCCACATTCTTTTCTTTTAGATTCAATGGTTTAATATCCACTCGAATTTCTCTTTCATTAAATAAAATCATTTTTTTCTATTTTATTGTTATATCAACTTTATCGAGAAATTGCTTTCTTAAGATAACATTTTCATGACATAAAAGTACTCCCATATATAGATTTTGGTAAAGAAAACTTAATATTCTTATTATAAGATTTACAAAATATTCTTAGTATGTTGTCCATTCTGTCACACAGAAACACATATGCACCTGTACAGGACCTTAGGGTGTGAGTTCAAGTTACAGCTGGGGGAAGAGACTGTTAGTTTTCAAGTTATTAGTAGTTAGGTGTGCCAAGGGCAGCCCTGAAAGGGAAGGAAGGTCACAAAAGTTTTTGTGAGAACACTCTCACTAATGTTTGAATGGTTAGAGTTTAACTATGAAGAAAATAGGAGCTGTCCAGGTGAGGGGAACCAAAGCTGCTGAGGCTCTGAGCCCCTATAGAATGGGACTAGTGGGGTACGACATTTGTGATGTGTTCAGGAGACTGGTTATAAGATGAAAAAATGGATTGAGCCTATCAAAATGACATGGGACCTCAATATCATAGGAAGGTGTTTGGTCTTCACCCTGAAAAATAGTTGGTTCTTTGCTTCTTTCCTTACTTTGACTGTCAGTTTTTCTATTTCTCACACTCAGGGACTTTGGTAAACTATAGTTGAGCTCTCTCTGTCTTTTCTTCTCTTTGAAAATATATAGGTTTGAAGTCATGGGAACACAGATTCTAGCTCTGAGTGGCTGTCCTTAAACCCACATACTAGCACCAGATGTGAGGTACTGACTTGTAGCACTTGGGAGGCTAAGGCAGAAAGTACAGGACCCCAAGGCCAGCCTGTTATACACTGTAGATCCTGTCTCAAAACAAAATGAAACACATCCCCAACACACAAATCCCATAAATGTGCAGGGACAGCAATTCATGTTCTGTGATATACAAACCTCTTAAATGACATTTAGGGAATCCCCTCCCTGAATGAGTTCTTCCTAAGCTTTCTGACTTTTCTGACGACTCTGAAATTCTGTCTTCCACCCAATCCACAGTGTGGATGAATGTGAGGTCCTGAGAGATTTAGCAGGGGCTGACCTTGGAGCAATAGAACTTTGAAGAGGACACACTAATCAGAATATTCTTTCCTATCTTTGGGTATGAGAGCATGATCAGAATTACTTCTTAAGGATCTCCTTGAATGAGGTTGCTTATGCATTTTAGAAGAAATAAGCCCTGATTTCAACACCTGTGAAACAAAAACCTAGCTTGAGACAGGGTAGATGGTCTTTATCTGTAAATCCCATGTAAGCTTTGGTAAAGTTTAAAAGTAAGAGAGCAGGAAAGAACATAGAGTATTCCTCACATCTGCTGGCCCCTCTTCCCACTACGTCTAACGAGAGGGCTCTGGCCTGTAAGGAATCTGACCAGTAAAATGGTTTTCAGCACAATTTACATATTTTATTAGTGAAAGCATTACTTAGAAGGAAAGAAATTATGGTTATGGGGCAGCTGGGAGAGAAAAATAGCCCCTTAGGACACAAAAGAGCTATGCAGATAGTCAGAGGTTGAACATAGTCCTCAGACAAAATAAAATCCCCAGTTATTGGAGAAGGTTGGGCTATATCCTAGTTTTAATTATATCGCTATGATAAAATACCCAACAAGATGACGCTTAGGGGAGAAAGACTTTATTTCAGCTCAGTTCCAGGTTGCCATCCATTATAGCAAGGAAATTAGGGTGGCAGGAACTTGAAGCAGATAAGTCACATCATACCCACAGGAAAGGCCCAAGAGGAATAAGTGCATACATGCTCACTTGCACTTAACTCAATTTTTTTCACTTCTGCACAGTTCAGGACTAGGTGCCTAGGGAATAGTGCTGCCTACAGTGGGCTGGGACTTCTCACATCAATTAACTTAAGACAATCTCCTCCAGATATATTCAATGTAGGTACTCCTTCTTTGAGGCTTTCCTCCATGGTATAGGTAATTCCATGTTTTTTCAAGTTGATAATACCAACCATTACAGGCTGGAACCTCTAGCATGGACAAGAGTGTACAAGAAATAAGCCAAAGGACAAACATTTAAAATTTATACCAGAGATAAATATACATTTTCCCTTTGCTTCTTAACTTCCAATGTGTTGTTAGAAGTATGCAGGGAGCTGTGGAGGGCATAACCTGGAACTCTCTATTCTGGAAAGTACCCATTATAGAAATCTGGCTCCTCCAATGTTCTGGTATAAACACATGGCAATCCTTCACTTTGACTTTATCTTCGCTTTATTGAAGAGGATACTTGCAAAATCAGATTGATCTTACCTTTAAGCACATGATTTTGTTAAAGAGATGTAGAATAGCATGCTTATGTTTCATGGGTCAGCCATTATCTTAACTTTCTTCATGTAGCAACCTCTACACCTGGGAGCTCCACAGGGCTTTTTCTGGCACATTCTACTGCTGCTTTCTGGGCTTCTGCTGGTTCTCTCTGTGGATACCATTAGTGGAGGAGAGGTATTATTTATACTGTCTGGGATACACCTATGAGAAGCATGTTTGCTCTACCTTTGGTTTGTTACCTCATGGAAGTTGTTTCCTATCTGGGAGAAATTGAGGGGCTCAGTAAAGCCAACCTCATCCATGTGTTCTCCTCCATCAAGTGGCTACAAGGTTACACTTGGTAGTCTCAAGAATTGTGTTTTTGGATGAAGTACTGTTCTGAAGGAATCTATGTTACAGAGATCTACAGAACAGGTACCTCTGAGAGGACTGACGTGTAAGACTGACAAATAAAAATGACGGGTACTACTTGGTTTCTACTTTTGTGAGTCGCAGACATTGCAAATCAACTGTGGCACACTTTGCCACTGAATCTCAGTACTAAATAGGGCCTGAGAAACTTTGCCAGTACAAGTCTGGAAGCATTTCCAATCAATTAGGAGTGATCTTTAGGATGAAGTCTGCTTGCTCTCAGAGCATGAACTGAGCAGCCAACAAAGGTGATTAGTGTGCTCTGCTTTGTACCTCTCTATGCTGATTCCAATAGGAAGGAGGGGATGAATAGTTGCAGACTTGAAAAGGACTTCCCTATGCCCTCACATAAAAAGGCTGTGGATGCTATGGTGTGCTTACAAACAGGGGCCTATCATGACTACCCAACAAGCAGCTGAAAGAATCAGATGCAGATATTTACACCCTACCAACGGACAGAGGCTGGTGACCCCTGTCATTGAATTAGGGAAAAGTTGGAAGAAGGTGAGGAGGAGGGCGACCCTCTAAGAAGACCAGCAGTCTCAACTAACCTGGACCCCCGAGAGTTCTCAGACACTGAACTACCAACAAGGCAGCATACACCAGCTGATATGAGGTCTCTACTACCATATACAGCAGAGGCCTGCTGGGTCTGGACTCAGAGAAGATGCACCTAACCCTTGAGAGACTTGGGGCCCCAGAAAGTAGGGAGGTATGGTGGGGTGGATGTGGGTGGAGGAATCCTCTTGGAGAGGGGGTGGGGCGGTATGGGATGTGGAACAGCCAGAGGGTGAACTGGGAGATGGATAAGGTGGATACAGTCTGGACTGTAAAGAAAAGATTAAAGAACTCATAAGGATCATGACTTTTGAAGTGACATGGTGATTAAAAAGATGTTTCCTATACTTACCTGGCAGGGGAGATACCATGATCAGGAAGGTGGTTTTCCCAGGGCGAGGCTTATGCATTCCACTCTGGATGTGTTGACCCCTACAATTTCCCCAAATGCGGGAAACTCAACTAATAATTTGTGGTAGTGGGGGACTGCATTCATGCTCTCCCCTGAAAAAAAAAAAAGATGTTTCCTGAGTTTCGTTGATCATCTGTCTTTGTAATCATTCCTAAGTTATTTTGAAGGATATAACTTCCCATCTACTCCTCCCACTTTTATTCATTTGTTTATTTGTTTGTTCATTTTTTTGTGATACTAGGGATAGACTCCAGGGCCTTGCACATGTTATACAAGGGCTCTACCATTGAATGCAGCCACCACTGTCTGTGTTCTTGATGACAATTTCCTAGTTAGCGAACTCAGAGTTCCCCAAAGAAGGTTTCGTTCTTTGCTTTCTTCTTGAGTCATGGTCTCATGCATCCCAAGTGCATTCAAACTGCTATGTAGCAGAGGCTGGCCTTGAACTCTTGATCTCCATACCCACCTCTCCCAGGCACTATGATTACAGTTATGTGCTAGTGCCTGGTTTAAGATTCTGTGAAGTCGAATTTGTTTTCAGTTTTCTTTCTTAGGCAAGATGTGACCCACATGTATCCAAAGATACCTTCTTAGTTTAAATGGTGTATCTGTCATTGGCATACTGATATATTTTCAGATAGTCTAGGAGTTTAACTTTGGGAGATATATTTAGAGAAATGAATATGTCTTGCCTGAATGTGAAATAAATCTTATGAAGACTAGCACAAGAAGGCCCTGGAATCCAGCCCCGCAGTATTTCCAACTGACCCCGTCTCTCTGGACTGATTTTTACGAGTGGAGACTATACTTCACTTTTGGATTGTTTCTTTTGTTTTGTAAGTATTGGAAGATTTCCCCATCTCTGCATACTTACTTCATGTGTATAATTCTGAGTAATCCTTTCCTGAACTGTTATCCATGTGCATGGCTCTGCCACAAAGAATTTAAGCTGCAGCTTCGTCTCTCCTATGCATACCGCCTCCCATGTGTTCTGTTTGTGTTTCTGATTACTGTGGGGGTCACCATTTCTGTTTTCTCTTGGAATCTGAAATTTGTTGGGCAATGTTCTGTGGTCTCAGAGAGACACTGGTGGAATTGACACCATGAAACCTGTTGTCTGAATGCTTTTACTCCCATTTATTTTTTGAACAAAAAAATGAATAAAATTCCAATTATGGGATGCTAAGTTTTAAGACACTTTTTACTAGATCTACCCCACATCTATTGTAGGAGAATGCTCCTTTTAGAATGGAATCACCAGGCTAATATTTCAGCTGCTCAGTGAAGTTGGGGGACATTTTCTAATGCTATCCATTATTCACTCTAGATGCATGTCAGCACAGTTGCTCACTTTTAAATTCCTGTAGAAGCCTTTCAAACACATATTAAGTTCCAGCACAAGTCATCCAATCCAAGACCATATGTTGAAATTGCAGCAAAGAATTGGTACGCTATTTGATAGGAAGACAGAGATAATCTCAGTGCCTGTGAACTTTAGTGTTCGGATATTATTTCCAGGCATATACTGGGATTTGCCAAGCCGAAGCAGAAAGCGACATCACAGTTTTCTTCCATTTTTCTCTGTGTACAATCCTCCCCACCTCCACCATTGTTTGAAATAAGCTGAACAAACAGAGCACAGCGGGTTACCTGGGGAGTGTGCTAATCAGAAATATTTTCACTCATCGGGTAAGGCTTTACATAACGCGCTGGGAGCTGTGATTTGAACCGCCCATTGTAAGCAATGGAGTATTGCACTGAGAACATAGCCAGGCTCCACATTCACCTCGTTTACTTTTGTAGCTGCTATGTAAGACTTCATCACAAACTGCGAATGCTTTTCTCTCCCTGCCTCTTAGAACATCCAGATGTCAGCTGAGTTCTCAGTTCGTCTTTTCCATTATGTCCTCTTCTGGTTTCCAAGTGTTGAGAGATAATATAAAAACAGAAGTACATTCAAGAGACAGATGCAAAATGGAATTTAGTCTTGTGCACTGTACATTTTGGTCTTGGCAGCCCTGTAGGGCTGTATGCAGTATCTTGTATGCAAGGTATATTAGTACTATAGGGCATATGAAAAGGACTTGTCTTTATTTATCTCCCTAAAAGCATGTTTTTCTATCAACTGTGTCCTATAACATTTGTGTCCAATATAGATTTAAAATGAATTGAGTACTCCTGTGTTCACCAACAAGATTAAGATGCTGAAGACTTTCAATATATTCCAACATCATCTCTTGACCTGCTTTTAATACTCTCCTCTCTGGTTACTCAGAGATAATTTTGGTTTTTTTTCAAGAGAGGGTTTCTCTGTGTAGCCCTGGCTGTCCTGGAACTCACTCTGTAGACCAGACTGGCCTCGAACTCAGAAATCTGCCTGCCTCTGCCTCCTAAGGGCTGGGATTAAAGGCATGTGCCACCACTGCCCATCAGAGATAATTTTTACCCTGCAACAGTTATTATTCATTGCATTTCTTTGGAGATTTCTTTAGTGTTTCGAAAAGTAATTCCTCAACATGCAGAATGGGAACTTTGTATATGAATTATAGTTCACTTTACTCAATATTACACTTGTAAGAACTCTGTTTGTTAATGTCACTAACTACAATTTAATTAGTTTCACCACTGCATGGCATTCCGTTATATGAAAACAACCTCACGTCCCCATTGAGCAATCATTCTCTTGCCAAAGGACATTTGAGTTTGTCTTGATAGTTTTCTATTCGAACTATCATTGCCAGAGAGGGTTCTGACCCAGATTTCCTAGTGCATGATGAAGTTTCTCTGCGGTATATATCTAGGTGTCTACTGAACCATAAAGCCCCAGAATTTTTCCAATCTCTTTAATATTGGGATTTTTGTGTTTGGCTTATATGTAACTTTAAAAGGGTATACTTGGATGTCAGACTTCAAACTGAGTGTCCTGTCTGTCCTTGATATCTGTCCTGTTGTCTACAAGCTGACCCATAGGCCCCAACTCCAAGTTCCAAATCACAGCTATGTGCAAGAAGCTGTTGGCAGCTTTGATATTTTCATCTTTTCTGCTTGCTCTGCTCAAGTGTGGCTTGGCTGAACAGAGTTCCTCCCGTTCCTTAGTGTGACTCAGGGCTTCTGTGCTCACCCTTCTCTGAGCCCTCTCTCATCTGTAAGAAGATGAGTTATCTTCCATCTGTATTGTAGTGGTTGCTGATTGCCTTATCTATGACTATGTCTTTTTCTGGAGAATAATATTGCCTCTTCTTTTTAAAAACCAAAACCAAAAAGGAAACCAAATAAATAAAAGCAAAAACCTACATCTGGTTATCATGAATAAAACACACACACTATACTGTGTGTAATCTTAGCCATTTTAAAGTCTTTTTGTGACTGACTTGTTACAATAAACCTAATGCTTTCTAGGTTTATCGCATAGTAGCAGGTATCAGGATGCTACCTCTTTTTATGGATGACTAATATCTTGTGTATATATTTGTGCTACCTGTTACCTCTCTACTCACCAATCAAGGAACCCTGACTTTCTTTGAACAATGGATATGATGCTTAGTATCTAGGTAACAGCATGCAGCCATCTCTCCAAAGCTCTGCTTTCAGTTCTTTTTAAGAGATATTCAAAAGTTGGACCCTCCTCACCCCTGTCATTCTAGCCACTGTGCCTTCTTATGCCACAGTATCAACTGAAAACCAACGCGAGGGCATGTGACATGATTTAAGTCTCCTCCAGTGGGAGTCCCAAAGTGGATCCAGGATAATTTGGTCCTTTCTATAGGAAGAGCTGTGAAGTTCTGGACCCATCAGTGGCTATGTATCCTGTCATGTGTGGAAAACCCTCCCCTGAGTTGAGAAAAAAACTACCAGAAAGAAGTCGAGAAGAGCAGGTCCTGGGAGTGGACCTAGTTTTTGAACAGAAAGCATAGATTTTTTTTTTTAATACTAAATATTCTAACAGCATCACAGTTACACTTGCTTTGGATAAGTTCTACATTGAGTTTTCCCAAAGATGATATTAGTTCTGAAGACTGGTATAATGGAATGAGATTGCAGTGGTAGAGACAGAGTCAGCAGTGGCTTCTTATGTCACTGAAATGGGCAGTGGGGAACCGGGGAGAGAGAGAAAAAAAAAAACATGACAGCAACAAGATGCTAATGAATTAGATGAGGAAGGGATTTATGTTTAACACAAATGCTTGATGAGAGGAAATTAATCTAGAGTTCAAAATAGTATGTTCGGCCAACATGTAAGTAATACTAGTGTTGAGATATTGTTTTATGGTAGAATGGTTTCTAATATCCTCCAGGCCAGAGTTCCATTCCTTGAAACACGCATGCATGTGCATATGTGTTCATGTGCATACACACACACACCCATACACACATATCCTGAAAATGATATGAAGGTGAAAACAGATAATAGTTTTCAGAAAAGTAATTAGATTTCCATGCACATAAACCAGAAAGTCCATATAACTGCTGAGAGTTACATAATAAATCATAAAATTTCGTACTGGTGATATATTGCTAATTATGAAAATTAAGCATTTATCAAATATTTAAAAACATAACAGTACACTCAAACTTTTGTTTGTAATAATGTCTTTTCACTCATTTATGCCCAATAATATTTTTTTTTTTTAGTGGGGGCTAGTATGTGCATTTGGGATACTATTATGAGGACTACCTGTAACTAATTTCTGGGTGTGTGGCCCACATAAACTTCTAGTTTCATTCATTTCATGGCAGAATATGATTGAAAGCAGACAATGACTGGATTATACACATTGTGCGTAAGACTTATGTTTTCAGTATTCTCTACCTTATGCCCAATGATCAACAACACAAGAAGTTCTCAGCAATACTGAGGCCACTTGGAGCTCTAAGGGACCATCTCTAGTTTACCTATGGCAACAGATACTTCAGTTTCCTTCATCTACCAAGCGGGAAGAATGCATCTTTTTTCTGACTCACATTTAGAGAATAATGATGCTCGTGGGTTCGGGAATGATTTAAGGCATTACTTTCAGGTACTGAGCTGAGCCTTTGAGGCTTCAGGAGAATTTACACACAGAAGCTGCCATATAGCCTTTAATTGCACAGTACT